CTTGAAACAGAACGCTGCATCTAATAAAACATACAGCTTTGGCAGCTTGTGAGTAAATAAATAAATATTAGATCCAGGCCTATAGTTGCATGATTCTATTTTTAATGCTCTTTTCTTGTGATACCTTAATGTGGAGATTGGTATTAAAACTTTACATTCAGAAAGGACTCAGAAAGGGATGTAGACACATACAGAATAAAAAGGTATCAACCAAACAGGATTTACATATTTAAAACCTCAAAAATTCAGATATTTGAACTCCTTCTTAGGGGTAAGTCATATCTTAAAAGGGTCCCGTTCTCACTCTAAAGTGCTGTGGAGCGTTAGGGCGCAGGCAGACTTTCGACAGAAGGCTCTCCCTTCGTTCCAATACAGGAAGGTGTATTTACAGCCATGGTGTAAATAAGCATTTACAAATACATCACAGGGCTCAAGTTTTCTCTTGCATCTCTTCTAAAACCAAAATCTAGATATTTTTAGATTTTGGAACTGATCTACTGAAAAATGAAAACTCTTAATGTTATCTCAACATAATCGACCTATTAAAAAATAATGAATAAAAATGTGCTACTTTTCTAGAAATCCTAAAGACACAGACCAAAACGTGTACTTTACTCAGCAAAAATAACCCTACAAAAAGTGTTTAAACCAGTCTTTAATTTTTCTTCCTCTAAATGGCGTATATGCACAAAGCTAGCGACATGGGATTGCACAGGTTCTGCGTGCACACCAGAAGACACTATTGCTTATGCATCTCACACCTCGATAGCCATCGGATCAAAGTCACCTAACCAAACAAGGCAATGCCAAACTGGGAAGCCAGACTTTCCTTACACATCCACATGTAAATTATCCTAACCTTGTTTCAGAAAAACATAATGGGATTTGAATGAGCCAGACTGCTCCTACAGGACTGATTTTTAAGCAAACAATTGCATATCCAGATTGTTTTCTGATTTATTTCACCCATTTCTGCTGATTACAGTGATCATTCAAAGCTGAAATCGATCCCCTTCATATTACAGTTTACAACAAATGTGCTGCTTAATGAAAATAGAACAAGCATTTTATTTGTGAATTTTACTAGGAAGCTTGAACAAACCCCATCCTATTTTTTTTTTTTTTCACTGTACTAATGCCGTACAATGACACAGATAACCTACAGAGTCAGACTTACAGGTTCTAGCAATGGCTGATCTGGCATTGGCAGCTGATGATCCCACGGTTAAGAGACAGCATTGAAGCAGCACGCAATTCTGCAGGGAATGAATTCTGCTGATGCCTCCAAACTCACTATTTCTTGTACTCATCACATATCATAGAAAGAAAAATTACAAGCCTTCTGGACTGCAATGACTACAGTACACTAGCAGTAATTAGCTTTGTATCCACCTTTTAATAAAACTCTGTATTCCACAGTTTCAGCTGAGAGACGATCATGAAGAAACAAAACAAGACAGAACGCAGCCCAGGCAAGTCAGAAATTTGTAAGTTAAATGTTTCAAACATTCCTCCCTTACTACTGAGCAATAACTGGAGGTGGTGAATACAGATGTATCTTTAGGTCTTAGCAGCTGCAATAATTTTAGCAGAAATTTTCCATCTTTACTGTTCTTAACAGATCAAGAACTTCTGCAAAATTTCGAACCTGTTTGATGATACAGCACAAAGCCACAGTCTCTATGTCCTACTTGATTAATAACCAATATTATAATCTACAAGATCGCATTTTTTTCCGTATCTTTTCCTCCCAGTCCTTGAAACGACACTTAAGTTGCACAGCCAAGCACTCAAACCACGAAACACCTGAATGACCGTGGTCCACAGGAGCTTTATTCAGCCTCTCTGTGCACAGATCTACTGACAGGGTCTTTAATTACAGCGTAACACTTGCTTCCACCACAGTCCTGACCATTCAAGACCCAGGATGAGTCAGCAGGGTGTGAAACTAATGAAGCCATTTATAAGAATTTGGTTTCATTTGTTACAGATTTTAGGAAGGTGTTAACATAACAGGAAAGGTGTCGGAGAAAAGAAACCGCACGCTTACATCTCACAAAAGTGAATACTGGTTTTTGAAACTGTGATGGATTTTTTTGCCCCCAGTAGCATTCTAGCTGGCTTAAGCACACACCTTTCACAGGTGTTTGCTAACTGGAATGTTCCTTATTTTCTAGGTGACTGATCTAAGAAACACAGGCAAAAATACAAACACGCAAAAAAGCCAGGCAGTCAGCCACTCGTGGTGTTGGCAAGAAGCACATTCTGAAGTATTTAAGTACTCAAAATGCAAAATTATTTGGAATGAGTTACATTAGACATCTTATATTGGTTAAGGCAAATCAGTATTCTCGACATAACCTGGGCCTTCACTCCTTAGCTGCAAATAAGGTATAAAAATACCCCTACAGTGCGGTGTGAAGACTCCACTGTTACAGCCCTGAACATCACAGAAAACCTCACAACTCTGTTGCAGAAAACAGTTTTAAAAATTGGCACCAAAAAAAGTATACAACTACACAGCCAACAGAATTTTGAACCGTACCTCATTTAATAAACACCATCAAGCCCATACAAGACATGAAATAGAAGATACTCAGAAAAATACAGACTTGTGGAACAAGAGACTCCATCAGTATGTACACACATACAAAGCTAAATTAAAGACCTAACAGGCAACCCTAAAGCTGGCTGCTGGTTTGAAATCCTGGTTGCTACAATCTTTATAGTTAAATATGTGTGTATACATACATATTTATATAATAATTTATTCTACTAATATTAATCTGTTAGAAATAAAATTAAAGCAATACAAGAAAATTAGCTATCAAACCAATTTTCAAACTCAGTCATTGACCGCTTGATCTACAAAGATCCTTTCTCTTAGTTGAACAATCTTTAGAGTAGTACTTTGCATATAATTTACATATCATACACACTTCTATTAATCAAATGCTTCACAGATACTTTGAGCTCTCACATCCCTTCCCTTGTTTGTACACACATTTTTGTAAACCATGTGCAAAGATTCCAAAAAAAGGCTGCATTTAAAAACATGAATATTTAGACCGCCAGCGTTCACTTCTTGTACTATCACTCAGAAGAACAACTGAACTACCTTTTTAGACCAAGATCCAGGGGCAGTTTATTCAGAGCATAATTCATGGATTGCAACAAAAAATACTTTGAGTCAAAGTTAATCACAGATGAGTACCCAGTACTTTTCATTAATTTGAAGTAAACAGGTAAAATACTTCGATCTGCAAAAATAAACTGATTTGTGGATGCAGAGACAACATTTTCCAATTTGGATTCCTCTGAAGTCAAACGAGCTTTCTTTTCTTTAGCATGTGACCTTTTTTGTTTGTGCCTATCTATTTCCTGAGATTACAGGGCATGCTATTGTATTTTGCTTCTGTTTTCATGTACTTGCAGTTTGGTGCTTGTCCTGGTTCCCAGTGGTTTAGCTGCATATCAATGAAAAGCCAGCTGCACGCAAAAGTGCCCTAAACGAAGAGCCCACCAATGTCATCACGTCCCTACCGAGGCCTCAAACGAGGAAACAAGCTACGAATGAAGCCTACCTCAGCGCTGCTTCCTTTCAGAGAAACTCACCACACAATTAGAAGAGCTGTATCTGGTGTACGTATGTGCTGTACTCCGTTCTAACAACTTCTATCTACGTAAATATTTGTGGACACTTATAATCCATTTCTCACACAATACAACGACCTCCTCCACTAGATGGCCCTGACACCCACTACATGTATCAGAGCTGTTTGAACACTTACACATCTAAGACAATTAAACACACATAGGGCACCAGCACCCAGTGATTAAGAAAAGCCTTTGACACTGGCAAACTTGCACGCTCAGGGAACAGACAAGAAGTAACAGACTAGTTTGAACTCAACTGATCCACATGCACGTAGACCAGAGGGCACAAAGTGGTGCTGTTCAAGGACACGGCCGCATTAAACCACGTCCTTTGCCTGAGACAGTTTACCCTGCGCACACCTTCCGACACCCATCGTCGCCAAACCTGTCTTTACGAAGCCACACTGGGCCAGTAGACTTGGCCGGGCATGCGGACGTTACAGCTGAAGGAAGTATGTATTTATTGGGTAACTGTATTGCAAATGGAATGTAAAGACACCTAGCAGCCCAACCTGAAACATTTTTCAGGTAAAATAATTAACTGTATCTCTCTCAAACTAACATAGTTGGATACATTTAGCTGACAGCATCCATTTTTTTGAATGAGACCAATTTCAAGACTGGAAAATAAGAAGCTATTCCTTGACAAAAGTTACTCATACTTACTAGTATCAGTACCACAACTCTTCTGACAGTCACATTTCCCTCATTTGATCACTTCAGATTGCTAGCTTTTGGGGTTTGGTGGGTTTCTTTCCCCACACTGCATCAGTCTGCAGAACTCGTGGAAAGTGCAGATTTCACGTTCTGAGCCACAGCTACTTTATGAGCTGGTATCTTAATCTTCCTCCTTTGCACCCTGACTTCATTTGTCATTCTACCCTTTATGCACAAAAAGGTTTCCTACTGAAAAGTCTGCAGGCAACCCATTGTATTTTACTTCACCTACAACATCTACACATCGTGTAAACTGAATGATCTGCATACACAGATTTTTAAGCAGCACACACCCTTTAAATAGGGAAACTTTGCAAATGCACGTGTTTTCCTTTTGAGGAATTAATCTGTCAGTGCAAAGCTAATGAGCAATTAAAGCAAATATTCCTATTTAACAGGTTTACATGCTGGTGTTTCAGCCATCCTAAATAAAACCTAGAGATAACGAATGTTACATGACATACGAAAAGTACTATTGCAAGTTCAACGGTTTTCCCTTTCTCCTTTAATATTTAGCACCACTATTTTGATTTTGTCTAAAATAAGAGTAGATAAACACTTTTCCAGTTATCTGTCCTCTTAAAGTTTCTTCTTTGGTCATCCATGTTTATCTTCATCTGTTATATTCAAAATGTTAGTGAAGATCTTTCAGTACCGATTCTAAAATCAGACTGAATATTTAGCATTGAACAAACCTAAAAAAGAATACACAAAAGTGTTTCAAAGCATCTATTTTCCAAGAAGAATGTTCAACAAAACTCCAAATTCCTCCGTTTCACCACTTCTTGTCCCACTTGTAATTCCTCATCAAATAATATTTTCAATTTTCACTTAAAGAATATTTTTCTTTTATTTCGCACTTGCTATCAGTTGGGGAATTTTCAACTATCAAGTATTTTCACTCAGTTCAAGTATTTTTACTATGATTGCAAAAGGAGAACAATAATCGCTCTGCACAAATACTGTGTTTTTGAGCAGGTTTAGAGACTAAGTATTTTCAGAAATTAATACCACTTTGTGCTAAAATAACAACTTAATCCTACAAACCTGTTTAAATTTTCCTCTGATTTTTTCCAGATCTTCTTGCAGCTTATCGTAAGTGGGGTCTTCATAGGGGAATTTCTGAATCATCCCTATTAATGAATCCAGAGCCCTTCTCTTTTTGCTTAAAAAAAAAAAAAAAAATCAAATCAAAACAGAAAAACTAATGATGCTACTACAGAAATTTTTTCAATCTCTCAATACGAAACTTGCACCAATACTTTTATATAATAACGCAGAGCGTAGAACTCAGCCCTCCATCCTTCTTTAATTCAACTTCTCCCATTTAGCTCAGAGAGTTTCCATTTGATACATCTTTAAGCCACAATCAGAAATTAAGCTGTAGCACAACTGACAAAGTTAAGGTTTTCCTTTCAACTCACCTGCCAAAACCTGAGAAATATTGAGGAATCTTTAGAAACATGGATGAGATGACTGAGTGCAATAAAGAAAGGCCATAAAAAAGGCTCACCAGAACACTTATCAAAACGGCTGACAGTGTTGTGGCAATTCTGTTAGATAAATTAATCAAAACTGGACAGAAAAAAAATTACAGAGAAAAGAATGAAAGTCATAGACCAATGCAGGTTGGAAGGGACGGCTGGAGGTCTAGTCCACCTTCTGCAGAAGCTGGACAAACTCCAAAGCTAGATAAGGCTGTTCAGGGCCATCTCCACCCAGATTTTGAAAATCTACAGAGTTTCTAGAGTCTCTCTGGAGAACGTGTCCCAGTGCCTAGCTGCTTGCACGGGAAAGTGCAAGTTCCTCAGGTCCCACTGGAACTTAACTGGTTTCAAATTGTGAAAGTTGCCTGTTGTCCCTTCACTGTGCGCTTCTGCAAGGAACACGTCTCCACCTCATCTAGAACTTCCCCTTACGTGGCAGAACTGTGTATCTCCCTTGTCTTCTCTTCTGCAGGTTGAAGAAACCACGTTCCCTTATGGACTTTTCAGTACCACATGGTCCAGGACCACCCTAGTGGCTCCCTGTTCACCTTTCTTCTATTTCTCAGTATTTCTTTTGCATTGGGGGAGAGGCAATACTGGACACCATCATTTGAAACGGTATTAAAGGAACAGGTTTGGGTGTTTTTTGACCTTACCTGTTCTTTTCGTCCGTGGGTTCCTGGAGCAGACACTGCCACGTCAGCGCAAACCCAAGATAGCAGCCGACCTGCGAATGTCAGGAGGGGAAGAAAAAAAGAAAACATGTAGCGCACCTAGTCAAACATAAATAAAGCACTACAGTGTATCCCATTCCTCAGGAAACAAATTACCCGATATACAAACACGGTTCTACGCTGGAAACTTCAGCAAACTAGAGTGGGATCAATGAGGGCTATCTGTGTTACATAGTAGAAGAGTCAGAAAACTTCGTGTAAGAATCTCTTTAGCACCAGAGGACAAAATATTTAAAATGCAGCATAAAAAAGCAATTCTGCAAAACACTAGCCATACCTTATATGCTTTGAACCCCCAAATTTATTAAAGTGTGGCAGTAGGGAGGCAGTTCGAAACCAATCTATTTAAGATGATTTGGTAAGTATTTCTTTTTGCAGCACTGTCAGTTTAAGCAGCCCACACGCAGCCCTACAAAAAGGTGGACTGAGGGAGCTATGAAGTCCATCAAAGAAACCACACTTTTTTCTGAGTTAATACGCAAACCATTTTAGCAGCCTAACTCAGGAGAGCAGCATGGAATCAGAAAGAGGCACGAGGAGCTGACTAAGCTAGCCTGGCTGCCAGAACTTCTCCTTACAACTTTGGACACCAAACAAAACAGGAATATAGGCAAGTTCTCCAATGCACCGAATGGATCAGTCAGCTGGAGTCCCTTTTGAAGGTGACTTAGCATTCACAGAAAAACAACACAGACACCTAAGACAAAAGTTCACTGATTTGAGACATTAAGTCCAAAATTACAGGCTAATCCCACTTCAGTCCATACGTCTGCATGTTTATACACCTGCCATTTACACTTACCAAACATCGTTGGACTTGTAAGCCCTTGTAGCCTGCAAACCACTTCAGAGTAGAGTGGGAGTGTTTGGTAGTTCCAGTCTTCTGTTAGTTATGTTTGTTAAAGTACACAGTGGAGCTGCTTTTTAAGGCCCAAACATGGGTCTGGGACTTAACATCCTATTAAGTGCTCAAGCACGTTTGAAGTGAGGCTTCCACATCATTTTTTTGTCAACAGAAATTTAATTTGCATGCCCCAAAACTGCTGAGAGACCGAAGGTAAATGGAGACAACCGACAGATTGTTACCACTGCTGTAATGACAAGCTACTACAGTAAAACACACCTGGCCCCTAGACACTTAGCAGCAGACCTCTCAGCACAATTAGCACTGCCTGACCACAGAGGCACAGCGCCAACCTTCTGCTCGAGCCCAAGCAGCTACTGTGTCTAAGCCTGTCTGAGGGATAAGCCCAAAACCAGACACACTTTAGTTATAAAGTCTTACTTTGGTTCTCTATCAAGCAAGGCCAGTATCAGATCAGCATCAAAATTCTGCCCAAGACACAAAACAGGCTGACAGGCCTAAGATTATCCAAGTCCCTCTCATTTAACCTGACTCGCTGTCTACAACCCTACTTTTCCCTGCAGCTCCCCCAGTACAAGTAGATTAGAGTGCTTCTCTATTATGCTCTGTCTAGGATCATTTTGTATAAAACCACCCACCTTTGGAGGCTGCTGCTTAACTAACATCCTCATCTTTGAACTACATAGTTGTAGCATCAGTAGGAAAATATTTCATCACTGTCCATCTCTGTATCACACCCAACTGCAAACCAAAATTGTACAACAACCATCCTTTCAGAATTTGGCAGTTTGTTTTCCACTTCAAAATGGATCAATGTCATTGCTACTGTTCTTTCTGGAGGTAATCAACTTTTTGAAACTTGAAAATATCAAAAGGGCAAATTGCCAAATTACCCAAAGGTCTTCAATACATCGAATCCATTTACATTTGTGGCGCTGTACCTGAAACAAAGCCTACCACGAATACTGTAAGCACATTGTACAGCACTGAACAAACTCCATGTTACAATAAACTTGAGCTGGACACATCAGACAAGTCAAGGTGCCTCATCACCACCACCATCCTCTGGTCCTTTCATTGGCAGAAAGGCTTATTGATCCAGGCACGCCGCTGTGTGGCAATACACAGCACCAACTCCATCTACTAAAGAATAATTGTGTCTCAACCAACAAACTCTCCTAGTATTAGAAATAACAAAGAGTGCAACAGACACACCCAAAATTGCTCCATTATGGTTCTCCACCCAAGGTGTCTCAACATTCCATGGTTTTCCCTAATGCTGAGCCACAGGAGATAGTACACGGGGGCCTTCAGCCACAATTTTGGGTTACTGAAACAAATATACAGTCCATCGTAATTTTAGCCTGAGCAAACTTGTCTGAATTTATTTCTTCTCATTCTCCTTTTCAGAAAAAAAAAAAATCATCAAAACCCCATATAGCAAATACGCTCAGAAAAAATAAAACCATCTACTTAACTGTCCAAATCAAAACAGCACCTTTAAACTAGTTTTATGGGTCCTCTTGGACACATACAAAGCAGCATAACATTGCAGGCCTCTGACTACCAACATATCAGGCTTTGCCCAACAGTTTCTCTACAGTAATTTTCTCCTGACAAAAACACTGCAATTCTGAAGTATCTTCCCGTTTACCTCAGACCCGATCTTGGCACCATGGAGCGATCCATACCTCCTTCCCTCAACAACTCCAACGTGACTGCCTTCAGCATAGCCCTCCTGATACCCCTCACCATGAAACCTGTAAAGACAGAGAAATAGTTCTTTAGCACCTGTTCTCATTTCACAATAAACCCACGCTGCGCACAAGCAACTCACAGAAACAAAACCATGCTGCATGCTGTCCTGCAATGATCCATGTTCGAATTATCACATAACACTGATTTAAATTAATATGCAACTATGCGCACTGGGATCTTTCCAAACACGTTTATAAAATTTGCCAAGAACAACGCTCTCTGCAATTCAGCTCCCAACTTTCACCACGGTAACACCGCTAACTACAAGCTCACAACTCCGGCTCCACTTTCCACACAGGGGATAAGCCGAGATCGAGCAGGTCCATCGCTCAGCGTGAGCAAGGAGAGGAATTTCCCTCACCCTTCTCCTTCCTCGCCCTTCCCCGGGCTCATTACCCGCCCTTTGCCCCTCACTTTTTCCTTCTCACCTCCTACGGCCGGCGGTGGAAGGCCATGCCCAGGCCCGGGCCCAGGCCCAGGCCAGGGCCCGGG